TGGAATATATACATATTAGAGTACTACTCAGCAGTAAAAAACAAGGACTTCTTGAATTTTGCATGCAAATGGATGGAAATAGAAAACAGTATCCTGAGTGAGGTAAGCCAGACCGAAAAAGAGGAACATGGGGTGTACTCACTCATATTTGGTTTTTAGCCATAAACAAAGGACATTGAGCCTATAATTAGTGATCCTAGAGAAGCTAAATATGGAGAACCCAAAGAAAAACATATAAGCATCCTCCTGAATATTAACCTTCATCAGGCGATAAAAGGAGACAGAGACAGAGACCCACATTGGAGCACCTGACAGAAATCTCAAGGTCCAAATCAGGAGCAGAAGGAGAGAGAGCACGAGCAAGGAACTCAGGACCACGAGGGGTGCACCCACACACTAAGACAATGGGGATGTTCTATCGGGAACTCACCAAGGCCAGCTGGCCTGGATCTGAAAAAGCCTGGGATAAAACCGGACTCGCTGAACATAGCGGACAATGAGGACTATGGAGAACTCAAGAACAATGGCAATGGGTTTTTGATCCTACTGCACGTACTGGCTTTGTGGGAGCCTAGGCAGTTTAGATGCTCACCTTACTAGACCTGGATGGAGTTGGGTGGTCCTTGGACTTCCCACAGGTCAGGGAATCCTGATTTCTCTTTGGGCTGATGAGGGAGGGGGACTTGATTGGGGGAGGGGGAGGGAAATGGGAGGCAGTGGCAGGAAGAGACAGAAATCTTTAAAAAAAAAATAAAAGGATTTCTGACTTATGCAAATAAAGTTATTACCCCTGAGTCAATGGCAATTGACCAACTGGCTAAAAAAACAAAACAAAACAAAAAGACAGGCTTCTTTGATGAGGGGTGGAGGCTTCGGTCTCCTAAGTCCTGGGATTAAGGTATGTGCTACCATACCGAGCATTAAGATAAATACTTGCAGTCCCGGCTGACCTCAAACTCAAAGTCTAATGTGGCACTATTGGGAGGCAATGAGACCTTTAATAGGTGGGGGCTAATAGTGGCATCTTTTGATTATTGGAGTTGTGCCCTTGAAGGAAACACTGGGACCCTAACCTTTTCTATGTATGTGTGCAGTATGTGTGCATGCGTGTAGATGCACATGTGTATGTACAAACACCAAGTATCCTTTACTATGGGTGTCCAGTTTATCTTTTGAGACATAGTTTTCCCTGAACCCAGAGCTCACCGATTGGCTAGACTTGCTGGCCAGGCAGCTTTGGAGATCTTCCTGTCTCTGCTCCCACCCCAGGAAGTAGGGTTGTATACATGCACCATTATACCCAGCTTCTCTGTGAGTGAGTGCTGGGGATCTGAACTCATGTCCTCATACTTGTGTGACAGGCACTTTATGGGCTGAGCCATCTCTTAGCCCTGGGACCCTTCCTCTTGTTCTACCATGTTGTTAAACCACAGGTCCTAAGTAGGGAGACCAACAGACCATACTTGAAACCTTTAAAACTGTGAGTGCAAGCAAACCATTTCCATGTTTAGATTGATCTGACAGTGCTTGTTACTGTCATGGGAAACTGACCAGCGTGTTTTAGAACTGGAAAGTGTGCAATGACAGGGCATAGGAAATAAAGCAAGAAGGGGCTGACTATGCCGAAAGTCTCATGATAAATGAGCTTTTAGAGTTGGAGGTGAGGACATGAGAAGGAGGCAACTTGAGAGATGATTTTAAAGATGGCCGTATTGACCAACAATGAAAAGAAGAGATGGAAGACACTAGAATACTCTCTCTTCTGAGTTTTCTCTTTTCTGGTTTTACTCACAAGGTACCTGTATCTTGCATTCCCTCTTGACACCCTACTAAGTGTAGGGTGTTTGAACAGTGTAATCCATTTTCACTGACCCCCTGAGTAACTAGACTATGGACCAGCCATCTTCAGCAGCTACCAAAGTCTCCATGCAGGGCAAGATGGAAAACTGTTTTCCCCAACTCAGGAGCACCCTATGTGAGAGCACCATCCCTACAGGACATATCTCTCCACACATGTGAGGATTTGGCCTGGCCTTTTACCCATTTGGCATGCTGCAAGGGTCTGGAATACCTGCCACCCAAGCTGATCTCTTGTTTCTGATAAAGATCAATAATCACAATGATGCCCTGGTTGGGTCTCAGCAAGCTGCATTTTTTGGTGCTGGTGGGAGTGCAGGGTGCCAGAATCGGAGGCACAGGCAAAAGCCAAAGGAACTGCGTCTCTGTATCTGAGATAGCCCCTTCTCCTAGGTGGTTCTAGCGTGGGCTGGATACTGTAAGGTATCTGGTATCTCTAAGTAAACAGCTTCACCAGCCCATCCTAGCAGAAGAGGCAATCAGGCAGAAAAGAGAGCGTCAGGCCATATCTAGTGTGGGACCAGCCTCCTATAGCCATTGCCTAACCCAGACCTCCTGACCTCTCCCCCAAGATCGTTTAGCTTACCCTGTTGTTTTCTTTGACTCTTGACTTGCCTGCATCCCTTTCCAGTCCCAAGCCACCTCTGGATTTTCCTTCCTTTCTTCCTTCCTTCCTTCCTTCCTTCCCTCCTTCCTTCCTCTCTCTCTCTCAAAACAAAAACATAAAAACTACTTTAATTATGTGTGGGTGTGTGCATGTGCGTACAGGTACCCAAGGATGCCAGAAGAGAGTGTTGAATCTCCTGGAGGTGGAAGAAATTATAGGCACACCACCACCCAGCCAACATGGGTGCTTGAAATCAAACTTGGGTCCTCTGAAAGCACAGCACATGTGCTTAAGCCCCAGTCATCTTTTCAGCCCTCCTTTCCTCCCTCCCTTTTTCCAAAGGGCCTCAAAGAGTTGGCCTTGAGCTCAATCTGTAGCAAGGATAAATTTAAACTTTGAATCGTCCCGCCTTTACCTCTTGAAGGCCACGATTACAAGTGTGTGCTTCCACGTTGGAAATGTCAGCCAGGGCCTAAAGCATGTTGGCTGAGTATTCTTCTGGCTCAGCTACAGCCCCAAGCCTTGACATTCTTTTTGCATACCACAGATCCGGTCTATCTGAGCACACCCTTGACCAATGAATTTCTAGCACTCTTCACAGCTCCCACCGTGAAGCCTTCAGTCCTGGTCTATCCGTAGACTGAGGGAATGCTCCCAACTTGAACTCTCCCCCACCGTCAGCCCTGTATTCCCTGAGCCCTCTATCCCTTTATTCTGCCTTCATTTGGAGTGGACTGTGACTCATTCTCGGGGCCTCCTCACTTGTTCTCTCTTCAGTCTTCGAAGGTTCTGCTGTGAGACAAGTACTGGGGCTCCCGCTCAACTCTCATTCATCCTGCGGAGCTTCACAACTCTTAAGAAATTTTCATTAAAGTTATCTGCATATTGTGGCAATCCATCTTTAGAAAAAAGTTCTCTCTACTCCATTACATTAAATTTTTAAAGAGCATAAAAGCCAGTCTTGCTCCCTATTAATATTCCTGCCTCCCTCCAGTTGCAAGAGCCTGCCTGGCAGCCCAGGCCAGCCTTGAACTCATGATAATGCCTTGCCTCAGGCTTCTGACTGTTGACTTCCTGGACAGGACCACCACACCTACTTCATTCTCTCTTATCTTTTAGGCGGGTCTTTGTTTGTCTGTTTCCCCCTCCTCTAAGCTGAGCAAGCCTCACATTCCCTGAGTCTGAAGTTTGTGGAGTAAAGAAAGGGTGGTCCTGATAGACGCCAGCACCGGATGAGAAGGGGATGCTATGGAAGGGACTGTGGAAATGGCATCAACCTTTGCACAAGTATTTCCTTTTGTAGCAGGGTAATAAGGAGCAAGGAAGCCCTAAGTCTGGAAGGGGCAAAGCAAAGCTAACCATGTGTGTTTTGACCCTTTCTTTTTTTTTTTTTTTTTTTTTTTTTTTTTTTACCTTTCTTAACCTCGGGCTCTTCACTTTGAAGTTAGCTACAACAAACAATCTCATAGGATTGTGGCGAAACTTTAGTGAATAGGGCCCCTCTCCTTACTCCTTTGGTATCAGTGTCTTTCCCTCCTGCAGTCAGTACACTCCTGCCGAATCAATCGTGGGCTTTTACTGTTTTCATGTTTTCCAACCAGGCTGTGTGCTCTTTCTCAGTCCAAGACAAGAACGGTGTCCAGTTCATCCTGGCATCCTCCCCAGCGGCCACTCCCGCCGCATTTAGCACGAGGAAGAAAGTAGAGGCTCCATGGTTCTTTTCTAAAATGGTCTAAGTGAAAAAATTCAGAGCCCTGGTTAAACAGAGACCCGCTTCAGGCTCCTTTCTCTAAGGAGTAACAGACAATGTGAAACGCGCAGACAATACCGGAATCTCAATTCCAGCTAGCCAGAGGGACTTCACCTAACAGTCCAGACGGAGGCCGTGCGGTGCTCACCACAGCCGTTGTGCCTCCTTTGTGCTGGCATCAGGTGCAAATCCCCGGAGCGCGGGCTGTAGGCGCCCGCGCTTTGAAGCGCGCAAAGAAAAGCCCAGCCTCCGCCCCTGTTCGCCCTCCTAGCTCCACTGAGCTCTATTACGGCTTTCCCCACTCTAGCCAGCGAAGGGAGGAGGTCGGACACGTCGCCGGCCTCCCAGCAGGGCTTGCCTCCTTGCGGGCGGGCGCAAGAGAGGGGGAGGCTGGGACCCGCGGCTCCAGCCCGCTGGCCTTCGAAAGATCCTCCTGGGCCAATGGCAGGAGGGGCGACGAGCTCTGATTGGTGCAGGCGCTCTGCTGATCACTGTGGAAACCCGGGTGGCGGGGAACTCTGGAGGATGCAGAGCCCGGGGCGCGGGGAGGGGTGCTTGAGGGCTGGGGGGTGGAGGAGGTGTCGAGGCCCTGAGCTACCCAGGAGTTTTCACCAGAGGCAAAAGTCCATAACAGGCGGGCGGAGGGTGAGGCGGGGGAAGGGGACCGCTGGGGGGCACTGAGAAGCTAGGGGTACTCCAGAGGGGAGGCAAGGATACTGACTAGCCAGTGAAGGCGAGGAGGAGCGAAGGCGAGGGGAGGAGGCGCGGTGGGAGGAGGAGTAGAAGACAAAAGCCGAAAGCGAGGAGGGCGCCGACCGCACACTGTGGCCGGGAGAGGGACAGTTGGCTCCGCCAGCCGCGGGCGCTCTGAGACCCTAGCGCACGGGGCATCTGGGCGGACAGTTAGCATGGGGAAGGGAGGTAACCAGGGTGAGGGGAGCACGGAGTGCAAGACTCCGATGCCCACCTTCCGCTGGGAGGAGATTCAGAAGCACAACCTGCGCACCGACCGGTGGCTCGTCATCGACCGCAAGGTCTACAATGTCTCCAAATGGTCCCAGCGGCACCCGGGGGGCCACAGAGTCATCGGACACTATTCAGGAGAAGATGCTACGGTAAGGGTATGGGGGTGCCAGCCACCCTTGTCCACTGCAGGCCGATGTCAGGAACCCGGGGTTCCTGGGCGCCAAACAGATCTCCAGTTGTGAATGGAGCGCAGGACATCCAGGAGGGCAAGAAAGTGTACCTACTGCTCTCATCTCGCGCCTGGACTCGTCCTTCTCTGGGCCAGCTGGGCATACTTGGGCCAAACCTTTTGGACCCCGGCCTTAGCGCCTCTGTGGAAGTCCCATCAGTGGCAAACTGTGCCCGGTGCATGTTCACAAGTGCATACCGCGCGCCGGTCCAGCCGGAGCCAGGGACTCTCCCAAGGGGGCGATCCGGCCTTCGTGCTTTGGCGCTCCCCATGTGGAAAATGGCCACCCTTGGGCGCCTGTGAGCGGGCAGCCATATGTGGGTCTCTCCTGCCAGACCTGGGGGGCGGAGAAGGAAAGCTGGTTCCCAGCCAGGACTTGCTCCTGCTTGGACTCCTGTCTGAGAAAGTCCACAATGGCTGCCCGACAGAGACTGCCTAGTAGCTCAGGTTCCCACGCTCCCGAGGATTATCCCGACTCACTCCAAGTGCCAGGCTTCTGGGAAACCGGGTGGGTAATTGATGGAAGGCGGATGGATTGGCTTTTGCAAAGTCCAAGTCCAGAGGATGTCTAGAAGGTGAATTTGGTAGCACCAAGACTGGCTTAGCAACAGGTCCATCTGCCTCTGGGGTTACTCTCGGACATTCAACTCAATAGTCTCCTGTTTTTAAATCCTGTCAGGATCGCCCTTTCTTCTTGCACTCCTGGAGGTCGTTGGAATCTCAGGGGCCTCTCTGGAACCAAGACTGCCCTTCTTATGCACACCTAATGTGTAGCTCAGCAATTTCATAGAACCCCACCCCCAACTGTCAAGGATTGTGTAGTCGGGTGGGTAAGAGGACAAGCAATGTCAAGGAGGAAGATGGGGTGTTTTTGGCAGTGGTGGTGAACTGAAGGCAGAGGAAAAGATCGAGGCTGGAGAGATCTTGGGAAAGATGAGTGGGAAGAGGCAAGAAGAGGGATAAACTCAGAACTCATGGTCCACTGAAAGTCCAGGGTGCTGACCTGTTTGTGTACAAGTTTGTTAGTTTCAATTCGTAACTTCCGCCTCTTTTCTTCTCTTTGAGATCAGCCGAAGTAGCCATCCTCTAAACTAATCAATGGACTGGAGACTTTGGTGAACAGGATACAATCTTCCTCAAGACTGAGGCTTGACTGGCCGTATTCACAGTATTTAAAGCCTATTTCCCTTGATTGTGAACCCTGCTTAAGCATGGGACTGGTGATGCTAATCACAGTTTAGGTTGGTGTAAGATTTTCACACTCCTCCAGTGTCCTAGCTTGGACCTTTCCACACCGAATACCTTGGTTTCCCAGTGAGAAGATGTCCCAGCTTGTACGTAGGTGGAGGTCTTTCCACTGTTTTGTCGTGCTAGTCTGTGCATGACTCTGTAGGTGAATGTAAAAGGCTCTTTCCCTTACCAGGCTCTCCTCAAAACGTGCCCTAAAAAGTAAGTCGATGAATGTGATAGATTTGACCTGCTTATTCCATCTCATGAGATAAATAGGTTTTCTTGTGTGGAAGCTCAATTGAACAACAGCCTTGAACTTTCTAGTTTACTTAAGAAATCAGACATGTTTCATCCTTGTTTTGGAAGTTCTTAGTGTGTTTTCCCTGACCTGGTTTCTTCTAAATGTCTGTTCTCAGACCTAAGCCATCAGATACCTGAATGTCTTGTTCCTGCGTGCGAAAAACCTGACTTGCAGTTCGCTGCCAACCTCACTGTTTTCTGTATCGTTTTCATTGATTGCAAGTCTGGTCTCTGGGATGTTAATCGCCCCATAATAGGAAAGGTAAGGTGGTACTCAGTGTAGGCCGCAGATACAGTCATGGGGCGTGCCCCATGCATGCATAGTGTCTTCTGGTGGAGAGACCCCCATCTTTATCTCCACCCCCACCCCGGTGGAGGATAACGCTTGTCGTCAGCAGTGAGCAGCGGATGGACACAATGGGAAGCTAAGAGACAAGCAAAAGGAATGCAACAACTAGAGAAATGGAGAAGGAAACAAAGTAAATTGAAGCAAGCTCATTTGATGCCACAGCATCAAGGTTTACTGTCTTCCTAGATAAGATTTTTGGGGGCACAAAACACACTCCCTGGAGACAGAGTTGGAGGAGAGCTAGGGAAGCAGTGGTGTTTTCTTTGGCATCCCCCAGCCTTCTTTTCTTTTCTTTTTTTTTTTTCTTTTTAAACTGTCTGAGACCAGGTTGGAAAAAGGCCTTGGGCAATGTGGAGATCTTCAAAGGGATCTTCAAGAGCAGGAATCCCTCTCCAGGCTGTTTTGCAAGTAACTTTGCCCCTTTGCCCTTAGGGGCCTTGCCTTCTTTCCGAGAGCTTGAGGGGGAATGACCTGACACACTGAGGTTTGGCCCAGGCCTGAGGATATCTATCTGTGATGTCTTGACCTGGGATAGAAGGGGAGTGAGTACAGAAGTCAAGGAAGCCAGACTGAGTATAATCTAGGTATCCAGTGGAAATTTTTCTGTTTCTGAGGAAACACCTCAGAAGTGCTCACTTCTTCCCTAGAAGGATGGAGCACTTGTCACTTGGTCCTTCTGTAGTCAGACCCTGGCCTCACTTGTTCTAGTAAAAGTCACTCAGTATGGGTCTGGAGAGATGGCTCAGTGGTTAAGAGTACTGACTTCTCTTCCATAGGTCCCAGGTTCAATTTCCTAGCACATGGCTGCTCACACCTGTCTGTAACTCTAGTTCCAGGGGGTCTGACACCCTCACACAGACATACATGCAGGTAAAAAAACACCAACGAACATAAAACAGATACATTTTTAAAAAGTCACTTAGTGGCATGTGCCCAGAGCTCCAACTACTCAGAAGGCTGAAGCTAAAGGATCACTTGAACCCAAATTTTGAGGCCAGCCTGGGTACCATAGTGAGATTCTGTGACTAAAAACAATGTAATTTTTGCAGTTCACAAACCCATTGGAATATTATCTCATTTAATTCTCAGGTCAGCCCTGCCACTGGCCTGTGGTCAGTCCTGCTGCCGTCCTGAGTCTCAGAAACCCAGCTTAGGTGGTGGTCAGCCCTAGCCAGCATCTTCTGGCACCAAGCCCTCCAGCCTTACCTTCTGCTCTCTCTCCTTCCCCCTCCTTTCTATGTTTTTGGTCATTTCCTGCTGGTCCCCCAGAACTTCTCCTGTTTTAGATTTGGTGTAGGCACGAAGAGCTGTCTCCCATGCCCCATGCGAGTGTTTGCACGCTTCTTGGGAATCTGGTCATTGCAAAATGAGCCCCACGTGCATTTTCATCTTCAGCAGGAGCTCATCAAACATTCATTGAGCAGCGTCTCCATGGTTCCGAACTGGGCTCTGAGCAGGGCCTCAGTGCAAAGATGAATAATTCACAGACATGGCCTGCACCCACTGGATTTTTGTCTCTTTTTTTCTCTTTCTCAGGCTGGGCTTGAACCTAGGTGCTCCATGTCCAGACACTCACCTCTCCATCTATGCTTTTTGGCCTGTCTGCCTTGCTTACTTACCTCTTAGAGTCAAAGGAAGGCAAAGGGGACCACAGGTGGGTTCCGTCTTTCAGCCTTTCCTATCTATATTGCTCTTGTCAAAACGGAATTGTGCCTCTGTAGACAGGACAGGAGCACCAGGCTATAGAAAAGAGAACCTAAATTGGGAGTTTCTAGGCCTGGAGGGCAGCTTTTCTCCTTAGCTGAGTAGGAGCCGTTTGGTTGGAGAAGACTCCATATCCACCCCCAGCATTCCCTTGTAGTGGTTCTAATAAAATACAAATACAATTTGGGGAGATGGCTTAGTAGTTAAAATGCTTGCTGCCCGATAGTGAGAATGAAGCTTGGATCCCAGAACCCACATAAATACCAGGTGTGAGTGGCAGCTGATTTGTAACTCTAGCCTCTGAATGCAGAAGGGATGGGATTTCCCCAGAGCAAGCTGGCTGGCGAGACCAACCATGCCAATGTACTCTGAGTCTGATTGCCAAGCCCTGGTTTGGTGAATAAAGTGGAAAAGCAATTGAGGATGATTCTCAACATTGACCTTGGGCCTCCACCTACGTGCACATGTCTGTACGTGCACACATGCAAAAACATACGCACACATAAATGAAAAGGGGGGAAATGGCATCACACCTCCATACCCGCTCTATCTCTGTGGGGACTTATTTCTTGTGCAGCCAGGGAAGTCCACACATCCTGTGTTACCAGATATTCTCTCCCCAGGGGCTCATGGGCCCTGCTCATGCTGCCTACCTATTCATCCTCTTCTCCTTGGAGGGGACAAGACCAGTGGACTTGGTGCTCTGCCTGCACCTGTGTGCTGCAGAAAGGAAGTCAGGAACCAATATCCCTGGTGTCTGCCATCTTTTTAAATCTCTGCCTGTGAACTCCAGGGTCCCTCCTGCCTTGCACAGTCATCGAAGAACACTGTGTGCCTTACTTATTGAGCCTGTACTTATCAAATCCTGGACTCAATTCATGGATGTGGAAAGATACCGTATTTAGCTGTCCTGTGCAGAAGAGCCTGGGCACAGTCAGAAACAGGCTTGGGGAGCTTCAGCAGGGTGTGAGGACAAGAGCAGTGAGTTCTACCCGGAGGTGGCAGGGGCAGAGGCTGTGCCTAGAGAAGGCAGCTGGATGGCTGCAGAAGGAGGAAGAGCAGACAATCGGCAAGCGCAGAGCCTAAGGATCTGGGCCTCTGAGCCCACCAGGTGCCCGTGCAGACCTCCTCTGCACCTGAGTGCCACGTTTTCACCTTCCCAGAGTCTTGGCCTGCTTCCTAGAAAGACTTGGCTTCTCTCCCTGTCAGAGAAGGAGAGCCCGCTTCTAACCCTGGTTCCAAACTCATCATTTGGGTTGGCTGGTCTTGCCTTGCACTGTGGCCCGCTCTGCAACTTGACGTTCCTCTAACCAGTCAACTGTTGGGAACCATAGTGTTCAAGGCACATCTATGGCCCCTTGAAGCAGAGACGTCTGAAGAGATCAGTTCCCAAAGAAGACTTTGTCCTAACAGTAGAAGGATCAACAGTCAGTCCTAGCCCAGGCTTTGCCCAGCCAACTCCTAGACCTCGTCTCATCAATAAACCAGGACCCGAAAGGCTAGGATGTCACTCGGTAATGTATTTAGCCTGAGTTTCGTTCCTAGTACCACACAAACAAATGTCTACAAAAAGATCTGCCTCTCAGTGGACAGTGGCCGATGACTGTGGTCACGCCTGTGGCTCTCTCCTAGCTTAGGAAATGACAGCTAGACCAGCCCGATGGTGTGAGTGCCTAAAATGATGTTTCAGAAGTATCTACTGGGATATATATATATATATATATATATATACAGCCGGGCGACAGTGGCGCACGCCTTTAATCCCAGCACTTGGGAGGCAGAGGTAGGCGGATCTCTGTGAGTTCAAGACCAGCCTGGTCCACAAGAGCTAGTTCCAGGACAGGCTCCAAAGCCACAGAGAAACCCTGTCTTGAAAAACCAAAAAAAAAAAAAAAAAAAAAACCCGACAGAGGACAGAATCTACCCTGGACTACAGGGTGGAAGCTCATCCTGGAATAGAGGGTTCACAGCCACTGGACCCTGGGGTTCTTCAAGTCTTGAGAGCTCTCTTGTGAAGCAGGTGTATGGTGGCGGTCACAACAGGCTAGATGTGGCTCTTTCTCCTGTAGGTGACAGGCTTTACAGTGAGCATGCCACACAATTTTGTGTGTTTGTTTTTTGAGGATTTTATGTACTTCAGGCTAGCTTCAAACTCACCTTGTAACCGAAAGCAGCTTGAACTTTTGTCTCCACAGCTTAAACTTCTGTTTATGCCAGGGCCTTGTGCACACTAGGCAATCACTGTCCCAGCTGAGCCTTATCTGCAGTTTATGTACGTATGTATGTGTATGAATATACATACATATATATAGGCATGTGAGGTGTGTGTGTGTGCATTTGAAGGCCAGAGTTGATATCAGGTACTTTTCTGCTATTATTGTCCACTTTATTTACTGAGGTAGGATGTTGCTGTGGGAATCTCTTGTCTCCGTCTTCTCAGCGCTGGTGTAGTTTGCATTTATGTGAGTGCTGGGGGTTCCTATGCTCATACTTGTGTGGCAAGCACTTAATCCCCAGCCCCTCAGTTGGTGACGCTGACGTGGGTATGAAGGAAAGGAAACAGAGAAGCCTGTTTTCTGATGTGTCACTGGGGAGAGTTTCTGACAGGTAACGCTGAAGCAGGTGCTCCAGCTCCCGCATGAGTGTGGGAAGGGACTTGATGTGCTCTAGAGACTGCTGTGCTGGCCAGAACAGTGTGCTGGTCCCACGGGGCACTCATTTTTTGAGCTGGTAAGAGGCGTTCCTGGAGGCAGGTGATCTAGACTGCAGTCTGGCTTCGCTCCCCAGCATTCAGGACCTCACTGCCTGGGAGCTTTGAGGCGCCGAAGGTCCTGACTTCTTTCTTGGCATGTGGCTAATGTCCCTCACCTAATTTCAGGGGGCTGAGGTTGTCCCAGAGCCCTGTGCAAATGGCTAAGGAGGAACCAAGGTTAAGACAGGGTTGTCATTTGCTCCCTTAGCTGGAGGCATCCTGGATGGAGGGGGTGGTGTGTGGGGGCAGGAGGGGCTGAGGTGAATGAAGGCACTTGCTAGCCACCAAACTTTACCTTTCAACCAGTGGAGAGGCATCTTATTGGGGACTTCTTGTCTTTTGTGAGGGGACCCAGGGGACCAGGCCCACGCCTTGACTTTGGCAACTCTTGCTGGTCTTTCTTTTTTTTCTTTTTCGAGACAGTGTTTCTCTGTAGCTTTGGTGCCTGTCCCGGAACTAGCTCTTGTAGACCAGGCTGGCCTCAAACTCCCAGAGATCCGCCTGCCTCTGGGATTAAAGGCGTGCGCCACCACCGCCCAGCGTGCTGGTCTTTCTTTTTGAGAGTCTGTCTAGTTTTGTTTTTGTTTGTTTGCTTTTATTTCTTGTAGAGAAGCCTGAGGCTAGCAGAACTGGTCCACCCTCCTCACTGCCTGCCTGAGGCTCCTGAGAGCAGGCTTCTCTCTTTGAAAGACCCTTGGTTTTGATCTGATCCCTTGACTTCCCCTTCAGATAGGGGAGGTTTATTTTGTTTGTTTTTAAATGCTGCTCGTCCATCTTCTTGAACAAAATCTTATTTTGTGGTCACATGATGGCCTTGCTGGGATTACTGATTTGACCCTCTTTCTAAAGGCAGAGGCTGAAAGCTGAAGAAAACTGCCTCCTCTAAGCCGAGAGTCACCAATAGTCACGTTTGACTCCATTGCTTTCTCCTATGTGTAGACAAATTAAGTTGTATCAAAGCCAGGTCTGGTGGTGCATGCCTTTAATCCCAGTGCTCAGAAGGTAGGGGCAAGAGGATAAGGATTCCAGGCCAACCTTGGTTACACAAGTTTGAGGCCAGTTTGTGCCACGTGATACACTGTCAAAAGAGCCAATCGGGGTGGGCAAGATGAATCTTCAGTTAGTCCACTTGCCTCCAAACCTGGTGACCTGGGTTCAGTCCCTGGGACCTATATGGTGGATGGAGAAAATGGGCAATGCAAACATTGTCCTCTGACTTCCACTTCTGCTGAGTATGCACACAAGTAAACACATATAAAAAAAAATACGAAGTAAAACAGGCTGGAGAGATGCCCAGTGGTTAAGAACACTGCTGTTCAGAGGACTGGGTTCATTTCCCAGCGTCCACAGCTAACAACTCTCTGTAACTCCAGTTTCAAGGGATCCAGTGCTCTCTTCTGACTTTCTTGGGTTCCAGGAACACACATAATATGCATCCCTATATGCAGACAAAATTCTCATTCACATAAAATAAGTAAATCTAAAGAAATTTTAGAAGTAAAGCAGCAAGAATGTTGCGGAATCCTATAACGTGCCCCCAAGTCCTTGAGCATCCTCTCCCAAGCATGAGGATGTTATCTGAAATCATAATTCTGCTGTCACATTCGCAGAAATAATTAGAGGCAGGAGCTGAGGTTCGTCTTTGTTTGCCTAGCATGCTGCTGGATTCAGGCCCAAGCATTGCATAAACCAGGCACGGCGGCACATGCCTGTGTCCCAACACTTGGGAGATTAAAGCAGGAAGATAAAGGTTATCTTTGGCTACATAGGAGCTTAAAGGCCAACCTGGATGGCACGAAACCCTGCCTTGAAAAGTTAATAATCCCCACTGGTTCAAAAACTCAGTGCCCACTTTTGTTTTCACATCTGCCTCCCAAAAGTCTTGTGTAACATCTGTTTTCCTTCCAAACAGGAGCCTTTCTAGTGAAAGCCTGTGGTTCATGCGTGTCATGTGGTTCATATGATGTCTCCATTTAGACCATTGTCCCACACTTACGTCTCCCTGCCTCACTATGTTGATTTCATATGGCTTGTTCAACTCAATCCTGCAGTGCCTCAATTTGAATGAGTGGTGGGAAGCAGGATAAACGTGAAACTGGAGGGAGCATCCAGTTACACACCTTGGAGCATCCGGAGCATCCAGTTACACACCCTGGGGCATCATCTGGAGCAGACTCACCTCCAGGAGAGATGCATGATTTTGTGGAGATGATCTTTGTCATTGTCTGTGGGAAAAAAAGCTGGTAGAAACACTTCCCACATGGTGATGAGTTGCCTCCTTCATTCTTCTGCGCATTTTCTAATGTTGCCAGAATTAATCATATTTTTGCTTCATCTTCGGAACAAGAAAGGTTAAAATGCAGAACATAATAGTAACGTTAGAGGAATTTGCAAGCTAATGAAAATAAAACAAGGCATAACCTATGCCTTTATTTTTTTTCAAGATTTATTTATTATGTATGCAAAATTCTGCCTCCATGTAAGCCCACACGCCAGAGAAGTGCCAGATCTCATTACAGATGGTTGTGAACCACCATGTGGTTGAACTCAGGACCTTTGGAAGAGCAGCCAGTGCTCTAAACCACTGAGTCATCTCTCCAGCCCCTAACCAATGCCTTTAGCAATAGTTTAGTTTCCCCAACCCTGTGGCAGGGTTTTCAGGAATTATTTTACATGGCTTTATTTTATCTTTCTTCCTGTTACTGTTGAATATCATCTAAGCACATTTTCAGAATGTTAGGGATCCAGCTGAGGGCCTTGATCATGTTGGGCAGGCATTTTTATCACTGAGTTAAACCCCCGCCTTGGGTCTTCTTCCTTCAGTGGTAATTGTGACCATGTGGATAAGGAGATCTCCGGAGTGGTGGGTGGTGTACTTTGTGGAAGACACTCAGCACAGGAGCGGGCCAGGACTGTCTTCTCGGAGTCCGGTGCCTACCTGCTACATCTCCCTGAAGTCTTGTCTGTCCATAGACCCTTGGCCAGCTCAGCAGGCCTGGTGCCAGTGCAGAAGCTCAGGATGGTTCCTGTTTGCTGTTGGAGACCTGTAATGGGAATGTTTCCGGGGGCTGAGTCTGGAGTGAGCCCTTACCACTGGGTCTGGGCGGAGATGCTGCTCAGCACCATCCTTCCTGCAGACGGTTGGGGCTCAGCTTTACCGGCTGCTTCTCTGCTTTCCAGGATGCCTTTCGTGCCTTCCACCTGGACCTCGACTTCGTGGGCAAGTTCCTGAAGCCCTTGCTGATTGGTGAGCTGGCCCCAGAGGAGCCCAGCCTGGACCGTGGCAAGAGTGTAAGTGGGACTTGGTGGGAGTTGGACGAGGCCGATGAACGGCAGGGGTGAGAGTACTTTCTCCCCAGGACCCCACTGTCAGGGCCGCGGCAGGAGAGTCTTCCAGCCTGTCCAGGAGACCCTGAGCACCGTAGGTCAGGGAGGACCTTAGAGTGTCCCCTGGGAGTCTCTGGTTGGGTGACAGTTAATGGCATCCCCTCTCTCCCCCGCTGGTCTCTTTGCCCCTTGTTTCAACCAAGCTGCCAGGTGTTGGTCTGGTACTCGACTATGTAAGAAAGGGCAGAAATGGTGAGACAGTATCAGCTAATGAAGTGTGGTTGTTTGTTTAGAACGAGTCACTTTGAGAAAGACTAACCGTCATTTACTCCTTTGTCACTGAGACAGGCCCCACGGAGTGCTGGGCTTTTAAGTCATTGAGTCTGATGCCCCACTGAGCGCTGGGCTTTAAGTCATTGAGTCTGATGCCCCACTGAGCGCTGGGCTTCAGTCACTGAGTCTGATGCCCTGCTGAGTACCGGACTTCAAATGACAGTATGTAAAAAGAACTCCCCTGGCCTCACCACCTGAGTGTTGGGTGGTGAAGCAGCTTCTAGACCAGACCTGGCATGCGTGTGCGATGGAACTGTGTAGAGCCGCATGTTTCAGAGTTTCCCTAACCCTTGAGGGTTCCTTGTTCTCCCCTCAATCCTCACCTTCGTCTACTAGAGTCCCCTATGGAGCCTAGGCTTCCCCTAGCCCTAAGTGGGGCTGAGGGGACCCATCCCTGTGTCCGGAGCCTGTTGGCCTGGCATCTTGTAGGGTCGGCTGGTTCAGGTCCTCAGAGGCACACCATGATCTCAGAGTATCCCTTCAACAGGCATACTACGTGTGGCCTTGGTGCCAGCAGGAGAGGGCTAGCCACCAACAGCTGTGCCTGTCCTAAGGAGATGGCATCTCCAACTGCCATCCAGGGCAGAGACGTTTCTTGAGGGAAACCAGACCAGGCTGGCCCCTTCTGCTCCCTTCCTGGGCTGGAGTGATTCTTTCCTAGCCTCCACCCCAGGGCCCCAGCAAAGCCTGGCAGGACACAGGCTCTTTCCTGACCTGGATTCTTGGTTGGTCCTCCATAGAGGACTCTCTGCCTCCCTGGCCCCTATGCTCCACACTCACTGTGGCTTCTCTGGCATCCTCAGTGCTCATAAGCAGGAGCCATCCTGTACCTGCACAGAGTCAGGTAGTGAAAGGTGCAAGTGCTCTCTTCTGAGGCGTGGTGGTCGGTGGTGTGGAGAGCAATTGCACTGTTGTAAAGCTACCCTCGCCAGCCAGTTCTAGGACGTTCAATGTCGTGTCCACCAGGCATTCTATGACCTTCACAATAGCTCCTCACTCCCTGCAGTCCCTCACAAACACCGTTCCACTGTCTCTAAAGCTTTTGACCCCTCCAGGCACCTCATGCTGTAATTTGTCCTTTACAAAATTGGATTGGTGTAAACTGGGTGGTGGCGGCACACGCCTTTAATCCCAGCACTTGGGAGGCAGAGGCAGGTGGATCTCTGTGAGTTCAAGGCCAGCCAGGTCTACTGAGTGAGTGCCAGGACAGGCTCCAAAGCCACACAGAAACCCTGTCAACAACAAAACAGAGTTGTATTAGTATATATTTTCATTGATTTTGTTTTCTTTATTGTTTTGACATAGGGTCTGATGTAGCCTTGAGCTCCCGATCCTCCTGCTTTGCCCCCCTCTCAAGTGCTGGGATTACAGGTGTGGGCTGTCACATCTGGCAACTAGTATATATTGACTGTACAGAATAATAGGCTTCATTATAACATTTTAATGCAAACATCTGTCCTTTTATAACTGTCCTGTTTCATTTGGCATAAAGTTCATTTGTTATAGTACACATTGTAGCAATGTGCCAAATTTTCTTTTGTTTTTAAGGCTGAGCAGTCTATGTCCAGAACATAATCATGTGTACTCAACCTGCAGGCTAACACAAAATTATAAACTTACGTAAAGCATTACAGTGTGTGTATGTGTGTGTAACTTGAATTAGGAAAAGTTCTCAAGTACAGACTTTGTAGATGACAACATTGTGTTGCAATGTCAGAAGGATAGCTAGACCTGGAACTTAGCTCCTCATTCATCACTGGATATTTGGATTCTTTCTACTTTTAAAAAAGTGTGTGTGTGTGTGTACGTGTGAATGCCTACAGAGGCCCAAAGAGGGCATCAGATCCCCTGGAGCTGTGAGAACAGGCAGCTGTGAGGGGCCCTACATGGATGCTGGAAACAGAACTCCAGTCGTCTGTGAGAGCTACACTCTTAACCACGGAGCCATTTCTCCAGCTCCTGTTTCTGTTTTTTGCCTGTTGCGAATAACACCTCTGAGAGCATTGGTTTGGAGATACAGCTGCTTACTATTGGTGATTGTGGTGATTATTATCACACGGGGTTATAGGAGGCCATTTTTACCCACATACAGTGTCCTTGGAGCATGTTGTCCCATATCCAACTCCCCTCCCAAACCCCTCCTTCTACCTTCTTTAGTCCCTTAATTTTTTAAAACCTTTATTTTGATTTTATGTGTTTGAATGTTCTGCTGCGTTTGTCATCATGTGCATGCAGTTCCCCTGGAGGCCAGAAGAGGCTGTTGGATGTCCCTAGGGCTGGAGTTAGAGACAGTTGAGAGCCACCAATTGGATGCCAGGAATCGAACCCTGGTCCTGTGGAAGAGCAGCCAGTGCTCTTAACTACTGAGCCATCGTTCCAGCCCTATTAATCCCTCTTGTTCCCGTAAAGCTTTATTTCTAGTTCAGTGTCATTTGTACATATAAGATGTTATCTACCTATAAAATCCACGAGAGAACTGAGCAAGCACAAAATATTTGTCTTTCTGAGACTGGCTTAATTCACTTAGTATGATTAAAAGCACAAGCTTTTGAGTCCAACTTTGTCTTCTGCCTCTTATCCAGCTGTGACATAATCTTTAGTAATAGTGGCTGTTCCTGGATTGGGTGGCTGGGATCACACAAGGTTCAAGGTGCTTACCACAACTCCAGTGTGTCCCGTGCTTGAGTGCCTGTTTTCCTGGCGGGTCTAGTGGCTGACTCCTTTCTGTGTCCTCGCTTAACAGTCCCAGATCACCGAGGACTTCCGGGCCCTGAAGAAGACTGCCGAGGACATGAACCTGTTCAAAACCAACCACCTGTTCTTCTTTCTCCTCCTGTGCCACATCATCGTCATGGAAAGCATCGCCTGGCTCACCCTCTCACACTTTGGCAATGGCTGGATTCCTACCCTTATCACCTCCTTCATCCTCACTACCTCTCAGGTGAGGCCTGACACCCTCTTGACCACGATCTGAACATTCCCACCCTTCAGATCCCTCGTGACTGTTTGCTGATGCTGCAATGACATTCACAGCCCTCTTTCCCCAGGCCCAAGCTGGATGGCTGCAACACGATTATGGCCACCTTTCTGTCTATAAGAAATCCATATGGAACCACATTGTCCACAAGTTCGTCATCGGCCACTTAAAGGTAAGTAAAGGCGATGACTTGGTGAGGAAATCACCTGGGAAGACCCGAGTTTGATACCCAGAACACATGTAAAAATGCTGATTATGGTGTCTCGTTCTTGTAATACCAGCGCTAGGGAGGCAGAGACAGGAGGGATCCTAGGACCCACTGGCCAGGCAGTGTGATCTACATGCTGAGCTCCAAGTCAGTGCAAGACTCTGTCTCAGAGGAGGTGGACAGTGTTTCTGAGGATGCCACCTAAAACTGCCCAGCCTCCACGTGCGCGGTGCCTTCCCTCAAACATGTAGCTTCATGTGCACGCACATTGAAATTGGGGGAGACTGGAGAGTAGAGGGGACTATCAGCAGCCTGGTGATCACCCTATGAGATCAATTCTCTGTGAATGGAAAATATCCCAAGTTAGACACATACGTAATTCCCCTCGTCCACCAAACCTCACTGCTTAGCCATGGAGGGCCGTGCAGGGTGTTGGTTGTTTAATGATCTGTGGCTGGCTGCCACACAATCAAAAGCCGTTGTAAATCAGGAATTGCAAATCACCTCTACTGTCATTTTTAGATAAGTCCTCAGTGAGTGATATCAAACTGTTTAATACTTAACCAATCTAAAGGACTGAAGTTGTTTAAAATGGAGACAGTGAGTTGGTTCTGCACCGGATGGGGCCGTGCCCCACGGGAGAGGAGTTGAGTCTACAAAGCTAAGCTTGCCAATGAGCTTGAGCTGATCTGACAGGTGCTGCCTGTTTGGGAAATCATTTCTTGTCATCTGTACTCATCGCTGTAACAAGATGCACACTGTAGGAGAGGGAGGACTTCTTTCAGTGTTTGTGGTTTCAGAAGTGACACTCCACAGCCCTCAGTTCTGTCAATTCTGGGCCCATGGTGAGGCAGAAGCCGCTGGTAGAAGCTACTTAACTCAAGGCAAGCAGGAAGAAGACTGTGAGGAAGAAAGGCACCAAACAAGCCTTCAAAGTTGTGGCCCCTTCCATTGATCTACTTCTTCCATCTCCTCAGGTTCCTCCTGACTACTAAAATTGTGCCATTGGCATGGGACTGAGGGTTCAGCCTGCAAGTTCATGGAGCTGTGCCAGGCTCAAACCATAACATACTCTCTCAAACAAACCCCACTGCCTCCCATAGTCGGTCCATCCCAATAGCATCTCGTTGCTTCCTCAGAAAAGCTAGGTCCCCAAGACTTTTACCCTCCTGTCTTCAGCTGCGGAGGAGCCCTGTGCCCAGGTTAAGTATCTCTGCTCTCTGGCCATGACCCCACTACGCTCTTGATTTGCTATTGGGCTGGATTGTGAGTGAGCCAGCAATAATCTGCTCAGCAGTTCCCCAGCTAGCAGTTTGCCTGGCCCTGAGCCTCGAAGGACTGGGAACCGGACTCTTCCCAGAACCTCAGGAGGGTGTCCACACAAGGCCTTTGTTTTATTTTGCAAAATCCTCCTCTGTGTAGGAAAGAAACATTTTACCCACTGCTCCTGTTCTCCCCATGCCACGAACAAAGATGGACTGTGTCTATTTCCAGGTTCTGGTCCTGAGGGCCTTTCCTGCCTCAAGGCCTTGGAGTCCTTGAAGGACAGCTTGAAACACAGCTCTTGCATCAGACAAAGGCAGAGCAGAGGGCTGGCTTCTCTATAGAGCATTTGCTTCTGAAATTGGAACTCTGGGGGCTGGGAATATAACTCAGCTGGTAGAATGCTAGCTGAGCATCTTGAAGCAATGGCTTCATCCCCAGCACCATATAAACTGGGTGTGGTGGTGTTCTCTCTCTCTCTCTCTCTCTCTCTCTCTCTCTCTCTCCCCCTCCCTCCCTCCCTCCCCTTTATTTTAGACATGGTCTCACTATGTAGCCCTGATTGACCTATTATTCCCCATATAGATCAGACTGGCCTCAAATTCATGGAAGTCCACCTGCCTCTATCTCCTGAGTTCTGGCATTAAAGGCATATATTACCAAGTCTGGCTAATATATCATTTTTTAAATGATCAAGCCTTTAACCACAGAACGCTAAAACATAAAATAGTCTGTTAAAAATATTTTAAATAGAAGTATTTTATTTTTATCAAAACAAAATCAGCTATGCCTTTCCTTTGTTAAGAAAAAAACTTTGTGATGCTGGGGATTGAACCCAGGGCCTTGCACATGCTAGGTAGGGAACTGCTCTGCCACCAAGCTACAACTATTTAAGTGTCTCAAGCTCAGAATTTCTCACTTGAAAGCAAGACGAGCACCAAAGTAGATTCTGAACGTATTATAGATGCAGTTGCCAGAATGCACACTGGCAAAAGAAAAACTTCTGCCCCAGGCTGTTGATCCAGTGACCCAGCCCTGCTGGCTGTTCTTGTGCTGAAGTGTGGTGTGCATCCTATGACCTAGTCCTAGTACTCGGGAGGCCAAGGAGGTCTGAGTACAGCCCGGCCTCAGATAAGCCTGTCGCCTCTTGGCTCACCACTGCCTACCCACCTCCCCGCCCCTGGCCCAGTCCAGCAGCTGCCTTGGAGCAGACACCAATCGCCCCTTATTCTGAAAACATGGAATCCTCAGACAGATGCTGCTTCTCTGTCCCGTAGAGGAGGAATTGCTGAAGGATAAGTAGAGCTTTGCCTGGTGAAGAATCGGAGAGACCAAAGCAGGGCTGCTAGCATGAAAAGTCGAAATATGGTGCCTGGTCCCAAGTCCAGGGAGGGAGTGTGCGCAGCCTCGATGACTCTCACTCCTCGCTCCACAGATATCTCTAGGTCGGTGCGCTGTCTGCTGAAGCCAGATTCTTACAGTCCTTGCTCCTAGGTGTCTCGTGTCAGGGCTTTTTCCATCCGATGCTTCTCTTGGGAATTTTGTTCCTTTCGGCTTCCAATGTGAATGCGCGTCATTTGACTCCTTAAACCTGGGAGCTTTCCCACTCTGCTGTGCTGCTTTTTGCTGGGATGGGTTTCGAAGCCTGCTGCCTGCCGGGGCCTGAGGTCACTGCAAAGGCCGCGCTGTTGCTCGTTGTTGCCACCCTTGCTGTCAGTGTTCAGAAGCCGTGTTTGTATCTGAAACTCACTTCTCCAAGTGAGAAACTTGTGTGGAGCAAATAGACTTTTTGCAGATGGTCAGACCCTACCAAAGCACAGAGCCATCTATGGGTCAACGGTTTACCTGCTCCTGAAGGGACAGAAAAGACCTGTGTTTTACTTGGGCCACCTGGCAAGTTTGTTGAATGACACACCTGAAGAAGGCTTTAAGAACTGGTGCCATAGCAACCTGTGGCATTCAAATAAATACATAAGTCCCCTTTCTGTGCTTCCAGTGTTGTGGGACTAGGATGCCATCTAAATGTTTGCTCCTCCTGGATGTCAGTTAGTGTTCACTGAAAGGGAATCATGATAGGCAACTGAGATACATTCCCATCCTGAGAAAACTTGGGATCTCTCCCCCCCCCACACACTCAATTGCCTTTATATTTTTTGTAGACTTATATTAATTTTTTTCAGCCTATACGATTTGTTGAAAATTTAAGATTTCACTAGGACATTTTCACCCAATTGTACAAGATACTTGTTCACATTCCTCCTTTACCACCCCCCTTGCTGCCTTCTCCCCTCAATGCTGGTTCCCTCTCCTTTCCAGATGATCTCACTTCTACCTTCGTGTCTTCATCTTTAAATCTAGAGTCCATATCTAAGAGAAAATGTGTGGCTTTTGTCTTTCTGAGTCAGGCTTATTTCTCTTAACGTGATCTCCAGTTCTGCTCCTTTTCTGCAAATGTCATAATGTCATGGCTGAATCATATTCTGTTGTCTATATACCTTGTTTCCTTCACTTGTTCATCCACTGAAAGGTGCCTGGGCAGATTCCACACTCAGATTTTATTATTCATTATTTATTTATATCATGTCACAGGTGGCTCAGGATGGTCTCCGGCCTAGCTGGAGCTGACCTTGAACTCCTCATCCTCTTGCCTCTACCTCGCAAGTGCTGGGATTACAGGTGCGAGCCACCTTGTCCAGGAGAGTTGGCTGTCCTTTGTAGAGCTTCAGTGATCAGGAGTATCATGTGCTGTCTGACAGTCTGTCTGTTATCTATCCCAAGAGTGGTAGAGTTGGGTCATGTAATAGTTTTTGGCTTTGTTTTTTGAGGAATCTTTATACTGTTTTCCGTAGTAGCTGGACTCATCTACTTTCCCACCAGCGCCGAATCAGTACCCCCAAACACACACACACACACACCACACTACACACACATCACACACACACACCACACACACACATACCATATACACACATACCACACACACACACACCACACACACTACACAAACACACACACCACACACACACACACACACCACACACTACACACACATCACACACACACCACACACACACACCATACACACACATACCACACACACACACACCACACACACTACACAAACACACACCACACACACACACCACACACACTACACAAACACACACCACACACACACACCACACGCATACACACACACACACACACACGCTTCTTCAGCAGCATTTTTTGCTCGTTTTCGCGGTGGTGCCTGGGACGATGCAGTCTCAGCGTGGTGATTCGCATCTCCTTTGTTGCCAAGGAACATGTCTTTTGTCATAGACTAGCCATTTGTACTCACTTTTCAGGCATCATCATCATCAATTCATCAGTCTACTCATTGAATGGATTATTTATTCTCTTGGCATATCCTGTTGTAACCTTCTTCTGCATTCCTCCCCTGTCGGATGAATAGTTGGCAAAGCTTGACTCCCTTCCCGTCTCATCACTAGCAATTGTTTCAGTTCGGTGCCTCCACACTTGCCCATTCTGGCTGTGTCGGGTCAGAAAACGGCTGCCTGTGCCTAGACAAACGGCTGCCTGTGCCTAGACCTTCAAGTGTTTCCTTTTGTTTCAGGTGTTACATGGAAGCCTTTGACCCATGGGAAAAGTTTAGATAAATAGTGGTTTTGAGACATAATACACACAGAGAGCCATTTGCTCACTTAAAGTGAACGCTGGGCATAATTGAGGGAGCATTCAAAGATTATATATCTCGCGTACAATTGTAGAGCATCTTCATCACCCACTGAATAAGCCCCCACAATCTCCAGCCACCCTCCAGTATCCCAACCCTGTTTCCTCATCGCTGCTCGCTCCCATCCCTGGTTAGCCATCAGCTTTCTTCCACTGAGCTTCACGTCAGTGAGATTATGAACTGTGGGAATTTTGTTTTTTGGGTTTTTTTTTTTTTTTACTAGCTTCTTTCACTCGGTAGTTCTGGGATCACTCGTGCTTATATCATGTGTTAGTGGTCCATTCTTTTCATTTATTTCTGAATTTATTAACTGGGGAGGGGGCAGCGCAGCATATATGCAGAAGTCAGAGACAACTTCGAAGAGTGGCTCTCTCCTTCTACCATACGAGTCCCAGAGATCAAACTCGGGTCCTCAGGCTTTGGGGAAGGCACCTTCAGTCACTGAGCCATCCTATTCGCTGCCATTCCTTCTCATGGTTTAGCTAAACCATCCTGTTATATGGGTATCACATTGCAGTTCCACTTCGTGGACATTTGACTCGTTTCTGTCATGGTTGTTATTGAATCAATCTCTCTCTCTCTCTCTCTCTCTCTCTCTCTCTCTCTCAGAAGTGGCAGGGCTATCATCTGATTTCCAGGGACTCCAGGTATGATCCCCATCTGTGATGGAGAAGCCAGTCATTTGTGTGGGAAGTAACAGGACCTGGTTCCTAACAAGACCTATCACCGCAAGATCAAAGGCCCACTGACCTTCGTGGCTCACCTCACTCCTCTCTGCTTACAGGGTGCCTCCGCCAACTGGTGGAACCATCGACACTTCCAGCACCATGCCAAGCCCAACATCTTCCACAAGGATCCAGACATAAAGAGCCGGCACCTGTTTGTCCTTGGCGAGTGGCAGCCCCTTGAGGTATGAGTGAGGGGATGGCTTTGGTTAGGAGGTGTCATGGGAGGAAAAAAGGAGTCCTGTAGGGTCAGCATTCAGCCGGGACATCCGCACCTTCTGCTGCTCAGAACCCTTTCCTGTTCGCCCCGAGTTAGCCCAGCTGCAGGCTACGTAGAATGGCCTTTCTTGAGAGAACTGGACACAGAACCTCATGAGTAGGCTCAGTGCATTCGTCCCTTCTGCCCACAGGAAACTGGGTCAAGTTTTTCAAGAATGCAGAATCCTAGGCCTCCATGATGGTCCAGTGGGCCAGTCTGTGTGCAGGAAGCGTTATCTGGAGAACAGCAGCCTGTTCAAGCCGCCCTTAACAGTAGATGGGAAAGCAAGGCTCAGACAGAAGACAGGAAGTGTCAGAGGGTCTGGTCTTTCACCAGTTAGTCCAGGATAAGCCTTCAGATCTTTGCTAGAACACTTCCTTCTATTTGCTCACACTTATTTTACTATCATTTTATTTTTTTATTATAAATATAGGACATACTTGGTATAAATATTGAAACAGTATAGCAATGTATATTCAGTGTTTTATCTTTATTACCTCTTGGCCTCAAGTTTATGGACCTAATAATAACCACTGTTAGTGAGAAGCTAGATAGCTTTGTAAGTGCCTGCTACTAACCTTGTCTCCAGCCCTCACCGTCTTCTGTGTGTATGTGAACATCTGTCTTCGTTAGGGTTTCTATTGCTGTGAAGGGAGAAAGGAAGACGTTTCATTGGGGTTGGCTTACACCTTCGGAGGTTTCGTCCATGATCAGCATGGCGAGAAGCATGGCAGACATGGTGCTGGAGGAGCTGAGAGTTCTCTATCTTGATCCGCAGGCAACAGGAAGTAAACTGACCTGTGCTTCTGAGACCTCAGAACCTGCCTCCAATGACACACTTCCTCCAACGAGGCCACACTGCTTCCTAATAGTGCCACTTCCTGTCTGTGGGGGCAGTTCCTATCCAAACTGCCATACCATGCATCTACCTCTTTCTTTAGAAACAAAACGGGAATAACGTAGGCCTTCTCTTCTGCAGCTCCCTGCTTTACTGTGTTCTAGGAGTGCAAGGGGATTGGTCTTGCTCTTGGGGACCGTGTACTGCTCTGTTCCATTTCCATATTCTAGCAGGATGCATATTGTTTCATATGAGAAATTTTTGTGCTACTGATCCTAATTTCCCTCTTTGGGGTAAGTGCTGGGGTTCAAACTCAGGGCCTCACACTGTTAAGCACGTGTTCTACCATTGAACGCTTCAGTTTTCTCCTCTGATTCTGCATCCCCAGCCACTTAATTTTCTTTCACTAAAGGCACACCCAACCAGGAATGGTGATAAGGCCAGAACTCAGAACTCTGGAAATAGAGGCAGGAGGATTTCAAATTCTAGCTTAACTTGGTCCAGATAATGAGACTTTTGTCGAGAACAAAACGAAGGGCTAGTGCGGTGGTTCTGTTGGTAAAGATGCTGGCTGCCACGCCTGCTAATCTGTGCTTGATCCCTGAGGCTCACATGATGATGGAAGGAGAGAATTAAATCTTTAAATTGACCTCTGACCTCTGCACATGCACTATGCACTGTGGCATGCGTGTGCACGCACACATATACATAAATGGGGGAAAAGTTTAAAGAATGCTAATTTTTAAAAAATGAAATAGGGCTGGAGAGGTGACTCAACAGAATACTGGCTGTGCTTTTAGAGGACCCAGGCTTGGCTCCCAACACCTGCACATGGCAGCTCACACCTATCAGTAACTCTAGTCTCAGAGGATCTGTCACCCTTTCTGGCCTCTTCAGGCATGCAAATAATGCACAGACACTCAGGCAAAATATCCAAACACATTACATAGAGAAGTAAAATAAGGCACCCTTGATGCTTTTAAAGAACGTGCTCTTTGGAGAGTTGGTTCAATGGTTAAGAGCACTGGCTGCTCTTCCAGAGGTCCTGAGTTCAATTCCCAGCAACCACATGGTGGCTCACAATCATCTGTAATGAGATCTGGTGCCCTCTTCTGGCCTGCAGGGATACATGCAGACAGAATAGTGTATACATAATAAATAAATTCAAAAAAAAAAAAAAAAAAGAACGTGCTCAATCTAGGCGTAGTGGTGTATGCCTCTAATCTCAGACAGCAGGATACTGAGATAGGGAAAATACTGTGAGTTTGAGGCCAGCCAGGTCTACATAGCAAGAAGTGTCTTTTAAAAGGGGGGTGATTGTTCTATACTTTTTAAAAAGTAGAGTAGGGTTTAATTTACAAGAAGGAAGGAAGGGGGAAAATTTATCCATGTTTGTATCTTGGAGATACACAGAGGGTGAGCACAAGTCAAGCAGTGGGTGTAGCTCAGTGGCAGAGAGACCTTGCCTGAAACGCTCAAGGCCTTGGTTCAATCCCAACATCTTGATGGAAAATGGCAGTGCTGGGCAGAACAGAGCCCTCAGTAGGCAGTTATGGGAGAATACAAACTTACCCTCAGTAAGCAGAGTCATAGAAGAAGGAGTATCCTAGCTGTGTTGGTATCCAAGGCTCGTAACATAGACGAGAGAGCCTCTCCCCCTCAGTTCTGATTTATATTCCTGTTTGACCCAAGATGCACAGGACATCAGCCACAGTTCCAAACTGTGGCAAGGCAGGGATTTCATTCTGCCCAACACCTGTCTTTGCTTCAGGATATGGCTTGTTAGCCTTTGGTTAAAAGTGTTTGGATAGTAGAGCTGATTGCTCTGAGGTCTCCTGATAGTGAGGACAAAGTCTTCCTTAACATCTGCGGTAAAGCTGTTAGCTCTTCTCACAGATAGTCCCAAGTTCCTGACAAACAAAGGAAAGCCAGGATCACTAGCTCTGCAGATCAGCTGCACTGTAGCTGGTGAGTTCCAGCCCATTCACTTCTCAAATGCCGGCTGACTTTGGGAGGGAGGTGGTGGGAGTCGGCTTGTCCTGTGGGCAGTGGCATTTGAAGATGGAGGCCAGCATCACAGTGTCCGTGGAAAGCCTCTCTCAGGCGTTCAGGTGTTTACAAGGGAAACACCACATTTCCTGGGTTTCTGGTTGAATTGTGTACAAGTGCTCACAGTTGCCTAAAGGGAATCCTGGTCTCTACTTGGGGTGACCACAAGTCCAGCACATGGGCTCAACAGAGCCACACACGGCTATGCTTCAGGGCCTTAAGCTTCCGTCCCATACCAGGCTCCAAAGCTGATGCCCGCCAAGGCCTTTACGTCAGATGTAGATGACCAGAGCAGATTAGCCACAAGGGCATTTGAGTCACTGAAATATGAAGAGCACTCCTGCACTACCTGCTCGTATTTATTTATTTATCCTTGATTTGTTTGGTGCGGTGTGCTTTCAGTGTCTCTCCTGGATTTCTTCTCAGTTTAGGAAAGTTCTCTACACATAGTGTTTTCAGTGTTTTATAGTTGCACATCTCAACTTTTAGCTGGGGTGTGTATGGGGGTGTGTTACACCGATGCATTTAATTTGTGTATGGTCTATGTGAGGACTACTTGTATGAGTTAGTTCAGTTCTTCTACCATTCTGGAGATGGAACTGAGGTTTTCAGGCTTGGCAGCAAGCTCCTGTAGCCTCCGAGCCGTGTCACTGAATCTCGATTTGTTACTTTTCCCCCGGGAGGATTTGGGTGTGACATGATCTGCTTCTACATTCTCTAGAGAGTCAGTCAGTGTCCTCAGCCCCTAAAGGGCTTAGTCACCCTTCCCAAACAGCAGTGAGCTCTCCTGTACCCCAGTGTCCACTCCAGACTATTGGGCCTCCCTCGGGATGCTGGCTGTGTGACCTGGACAAAGCTTTCTGCTTTGCGTAATACCTCGTGCCTGCTCCTTTTAAAATGTGCATTGTGCCCTTTAATGCCAGGGCTTCTTCAGTATGCAGGAAGCAGTTGATGGCTGGCTCATTGTGCCCAGGTAGTGTCTCCTGAGGCCTCTTCGTGGTTCTAGCTTTTCCTTTGGTTCAACTGCCCTGGGAAGGCAATCAATCAATCACACTCTTATAAATAAGGAGGCCAATGCCTTCTCTCTACTGGCACCACTCTGTTATTTCTGCCTGGGGTTTCAGTGCTGGGTGGGAACGTTCAGCCTGATTAGACTGTGGTAAGTGCAACAGTCTTGTTTGCCACCCCTCCCCTTGCCATGTCTCTGTCCCCATTGTGTAGTTAATATGTCCCCAGAAGTGGGAGCCTGCCAGCCTTCCTGCCTGCGGGCTTCCCCTCTACGTCTGTGAAGCGCCCCACTTTCTACTTATCTTCCTGCTTCCCTGAGACCTTTAGTCCCCACCCCAGAGCCTAGGGCACATGTGGCCCTCTTCTTGGGAACTTGGGTGGGCATCTAGCATCCTTCCAGTGCCGGCTGTGGCCGCGTTGTTCGTTGCTCTGTAGATGAGTTTGTGAGTTCTCAGAGGCAGCAACTGACCTTGTGGCAACTCCTGCCAAACCGCTCCTCAGCTCTGGACAGACAAGGAAGGCCCTTGTTATTCCTCAGACGCTTCGCTTCAAACCCGAAAGGTCCCTCTCCATGTCCTTGCCTGTGGCTGCTGCATTATTTCTGTTTCTTCTTGCTGCCACCAAATGCCTGACAAGAAGCCATTTAAAGGGAGGGTTTATTAGGGTTTAGAGATAAAGGCAGTACTTTCCATCGAGGTAGGGAAGGCGTGATGGCAGGAGCAGGAAGCTGGCTAGCCGTGGCATCTGCAGTTGGAAACAGAGATGGATGCTGATGCTCGACTTGCTTTCTCCTTTTATTCAGTTGAGGAGGTCAACATGTGGGGGTAACGCTGCCTGCAGTTAGTGTAGGTCTTCTCACCCCAGTTAATCTAATCTAGATAACCCCTCCAGGGTGTTGCCAGGTGAGTCTAGGGCCTGCCAAGGTGATAATCAGTATTAACTATCGCAGTGCCATCTCTTAAACCCAGACACATCCCTTTTAGGCCACAAACTTCCCCTGATGTTCTTGATGTTCATGGCATCTCACAGTG